AAGGCACCGGCGTCCTCAAAGCAGTCCTGCTGTAGGCTTGTCGACGGCGAAAAGACTCCAAGAAATCCGGAGGATCCAGCGAAGAGAAGGTCTTTGCTGAAGGAGATTAAATCTAAAGAACTCAGACGACGGGGCGCCCAATATATAGCCCTTGGCCACGCCCATCTTGGCGGGCTCTGAAGCGCGTGGGCGTTAAGCACGCTCATTGGAAGCGGGTTCAGAGTCGCCCCGTCATAGGTTTGTGCAGTTGCCGCAGCACAGCCAATGACCGAGCTGCCGCATTGCAGCTGCAATGCGTTTTACATAAAGACTTCAATATTTCTTGAGAAAAGGAGTTTTCCCATAGCGTAAGCTACTTACGCAATAGGAGGAACCTCTCGAAAGGGAACCTGTTTATGGCTGTCCTGGCGATTGGTTAAGGAATGTCTATGTTGTCTAAAAAGGCTCTCAGTGTTAACAACACATTATTTGTTTTCTATTTGACAATGATCTTTAGTATAATGCAATACTGAGATAAATGTCCTTTAATAAAGATATAGATGTGATTGTGGTATAAAGGAAAGCAAGTTTCATTTGGCTAAATAAATAAGAAAAAATGATTGTTTTTGCCCATTTAATCAAAATCAGTGGGGTTTGATCATCAATGGGGGATTGTTTTATCTGCAATTAATTACATGCATTATAAATAGACAGTATAAACATAAGGAAAGCAAAACCAAAATATTTACAAAGCAAAATGATTTCTCTGGCATGTTCCTCCTTTCTGATTTTTAAAACAAGGAACCCTGTACTGCAATTCTGCTGCCACGGCAGAAATCTGCTCTCTGCACTGAGCATAACTACTTATAATAGCACTCATTAAGCGACAAAGTTTTACTTTACTAGGCAAATTTAATGGAGAGTCACATGAAGTCATCAGGGGGAAGAGAGATGCATTGGGATGTGTTGCAGGCCAGACTCAAACCTGCATCACCTACTTGAGCACCATGTCTCAATGAGCCAGAAGCATGTGCATTAATTGCTAAATGACATATTTCTTTTAAAATGACTGGAATTTCTGAGACCAGTTGCAATAGTGTCATCACACTAACCTGCCATGGTCTGTCCCAGTCGAGAGGAATAGGGAACGCTCCCAGCCAGGCCCCAATCACACTACAGCCAGTGGTAATCTGAAGAGAGGTGTCCCACACTGACATTGCCCTGAAAATGACACATGCTCAATCATAACATTGCTGCTATTGCAAACAAATGAAAATGAATAAAGCTCAAATGTTGCTCATGAGTACAGAAAACTAACCATATATCAAAAGAAATATTTTTTATATGAACATAAGTTTGGGGTCAGTACGTTTCTTTGTTTGTTTGTTTTTTAAAGAAATTAATACTTTTATTCAGCAAGCATGCATTAAATTGATCAGAAGTGAGAGTAAAGACTTCTATGTTGTTCCAAAAAATAAATATTTCAAATAAATGCTGTTTTTTTTATTTTTTAAGCCATCAAAGAATCTTTCATGGTGTTCAGAAAAATATCAAGCAGCACAACTGTTTTCAACACTGATAACAACAAGAAATGTTTTTTAACCACCACATCATCATATTAAAATGATTTCTGAAGGATCATGTGACACTGTAGACTGAAGTAAAGATGCTGAAAATTCCAATTTGGCATCACATGAATAAATTACATTTTAAGATAGTTTTCAAACAGTTTTTTTATATTGTAAAAATATTTCACAATATTAAGGTTTTACTGTATCTTTTGATCAAATAAATACAGCCTTGGTGAACTTAAGAGACTTCTTTTAAAAAACATTAAAATCTTACCAACCCTAAACTTTTGAACGGTAAAAAAAAATGAAATTGACAACTTTAGCTTAAAATACCATATGTAGGTTATAGAATATGAAGCTTTTTGTCTTTTATACAGTGTAGTGATGTAGGATACAAGAGGACTATGAATGTTCGATGAACACAGACTGCATATTTACATCTGAGAGATACATTTCCTGCAGCGTTTAAGCAGAGATACTGCAGCTGTACAAACACACAGTATCTCTGACTATCATACCATTGGAACCATCACTAAATTATAGTACAAACGTTCAGTGGTCTTGTTTCAAAACACTTCAATGTTACAGTCAATGTGAAGCTATTGTTCATTGAAGCTAAAATGTTACAGAGAAGCTTTAACGATATTATTAATTAAAGCTGCAGTCCGTAACTTTTGGCGCTCTAGCGGTTAATAAACAGAACTGCATGCGTCTTGCGGAAGAATACAGCCGGAGCTACTTCTCTCTGTTTATGTCTATGATGAGTCACGCAGGTACTGGGCTACTCCGCATTGGTACGACCCGAACCAGTCTAAAACAGTCAGAATATAAACACTTATTAAAGGTGTACCGTAGTGATTCGGGATAAGGAAAAAACAAGGTTTGGAAAATTGATTCATGATATACTCGCTCTTTATATACATTTTGTAAATTTTGAACACAAAAAATAAGTTACAGAATGCAGCTTTAAACGCTAAATTATATACAATTAGAAAATGGGAAAGGACCAGACCCAGCTCATGCCCCAACCTGCAGGATTTCCTCTGAGAGCATTAAGCCACACTCAACTCTAGTTGCTCATAAATGGGGATTGAGGCTTTGTGATTGATTGCATTTCAAAATGGTTTTGCGTCATTTACTTTATATTGAAGGCGTTCATCCTAAAATAATCCCTTATCTGTGAAACTCAATGAGATCTGTTGCACCAATTTGTCAAAGTTGGTCAAGGTCTCCATCTAGTGGATTACAGCCACTGAAACAATAACACAAGCTGCTCAGTAAAGCCTATTCCACACCGTAAACGGAGCAAGCAGTGATTCAAGTGGTTTATGTAGACAGTTTATCCTGCATTTACCCATCTCTGCTGAAAACCCGGATCCATGCCTGTACATTAGGGCCCAGTATGCAGAGACATCTCAATGTAGTGAGTGTGGAAAGCAGCAAGGCCAGAGAAAACGTCTCCAGGGCAGACCTACAACATGACATGTGACTTATATTATCGGGTATTTCACATTTCTGGACACAAAACAAACAAACAAACATGTAATACTTACTCGAGCAGAGGTGCGCCGTACATTACCACCACAGAATGAAAAAAGAGGCATGACAGTAGAAAGTACAGACAGGATCTGGACAATCTGTTGATCTGTAAATGAAATAACAAATGAAACTTTAATCACCATGAAATCAAAAATGACATCTCTTGTTTTTATGGAATATTGCAGTATTTATTATAAATGATTTATCCATGCACATCGTTTTTTTATTAAATAACTTCTCCCTCTTGCCATCTCTTCTGTGATGACATGTTTACTGGCGTGAGGGCGGGACAAACTGTCACTCACAAGAGATCATTGCAAAAGAAAGCAACAACAATCCAATCTATTCCCAATGGACAAAATCAAGTCGCGCCTTACTTTTTTTTTTTTTTGTTCAAGAAGCTGTTTCACTCTTATATACCGGTACATCACAATAGAGTGGTGCAGGGATGATGTCAAAACCCAGAAGAATAATTCGCCACTGGTTCCCTCGAGATTTTCCTATAGGGTTTATCAATTTATGAGTAAAATAAGGTCTGTGGTAAACATAAGTTGACAATAATTGGACATTTTGTTCTATAACTTAAATAGCACACACTGTTACGTACCATACACTCAGCGCAACCAAACGTCACATATTGATAACGCAAATTTTGAAGCTGTTATGTTCCTATTAAGTACCTAGATAAAAAAATTCGGAGTTTGAGTGCGTGTAATTATTCGTTGCAGAAAAAAACGTCCAAGTATCATCATCTTATGTTTACCACAGACATTATTTTACTCATGAATTGAAAAACCCCATAAAAACCCATAGGAAAATCTTGAGGGAACCAGGTGTGAATTAATCTTCCGGGTTTTGACATCATCCCTGCACCACCCTATAGGGAAAAAAAGACTATCGCAATTTCCGTTTTATGCTGACTTTAATGCTCATTCTATTTAGTCATCAATTATGTTCTGCCCATCTCTACCTTGTAGCTCAATGTGTTTTTCTTTATTGGTGGGCTGATTCCAAGAAGCCAAAACACTGCAATGTTGACCACAGCAACAGATCCAGCCACACAATACAGCCAAACCATGTGGGTCCCATAAACAGAGAAGTTTTCCAAAAACACAGCAGGCATCACAGTTGCCATGAAGATGGAGGAGGCAATAATGGCATGAGAGGATGCCATGCCCCTGATCTCAACATCCCACATTATGGAAGTTAAATGGAGGTACCTGTTAAAGAATAATGAAAGTAAATTAATGGGATAAATGAACAATTGCAAAAGAAATGTTAAAGCCATTTGCGTGTCTTTCAAAAATATTTCATATAAGGTCAAAGAAAGGACACGAAAGACAGATAAGAGTCCAACGTGATAATGAGGCTGGCAATAAAAGCATAATTTCCAGGAAATGTTAGAAATGCAAGGACACTATTGCATACAACTAAAACGAGCGGTTTATTCAATGATTAATTCAACTTACTTTGAAGTAAAGACTGACCAGTGGAGTATTGTGCCTGCCTGCCCTGGTTGTAATTATATATATCCAATAAATTAACTTCTAAAGTAATTAATCACCAGATTCCTCCAGCACCTGAACAATTTGAACAAATTCAAGTTTCACCTTTCTAGAATGAATGCCATAAGACTGCAAACAAATGAGAACAGTTTATTTACAAAACATGACTCCCGTGTAACTTACTTCCGGGAAAATGAAGTCACCAACAATCAAAAACATTCTCAAAAAAACATACTACTCCAAACCATAATAAAATATTCTAATAATAAAAAAATAAAAAAATAAAATAATGTATTATTATTATTATTATTGGATCAACATTTTACACTATTTTACTTGCTTCTTGCTACTAAAGCATCTAGATTAATTAGCGTTTGTCTGGACTTTTAGTTTGACAATACTTCATGATACGTCACTGAAGACTAAGCAGTGTGTCTAGCTTCATTTTTTACATCTGGAAGTATCTAGACGTGATAGCTACGATTTTGCGAAGATGGTTTGCGAGAAGTGTAAGTAGTTACATTGTAAATCATATTATAAAATCAAATTATTATTTATTTTAAACCAATATATCTAAGTCATTAATATTGTGATTCGTATGTATTCAGTAGCTTTAGGTCGCTAGTGCTAGCAAAATCACAATAGCTAGAGAATTCTCAGAAACAAAACAATCCACATCCACAGTGTAATTAACGACCGTCGCCTGTGGTTCGCCTGTATCTCGACGATGATAATTAATATGTGCATAGTACTGACGTAAATGCAATGTGTGGGGTGTTTCGTGTTTGACTGAATTAATCATGTTTTGATGTTACCCCCAGGCGAGAAGAAACTGGGGCGGGTCATCACTCCTGATACCTGGAAAGATGGAGCTAGAAACACAACAGGTAACGTTAAGTTGGATTAAAGCTTGGATAAAACTACCCATTTGTATGTTTGTGTTTATCCTTCGTCAACACTGAATACCAACATAAAAACTATTATATTACAGAGAGTGGTGGTCGAAAGCTTAATGAAAATAAAATGCTGACATCAAAAAAAGCCAGGTGAGTTGCTTGAAATATGGCATGCTTATACATTACAGTATTTTAGTGCATTTAAAGTCATCATGAAATAAAAATAGACTATTCTTATTTTTTATATGGAATATTACAGAAGTTTATTGGAAGATATACCAATAAACTGATTGAACGATCCAATCAATTCTCAATGATCAAAATCAAGTCCCGTCCTACATTTTATTTATTATTTTTCTTGTTCGAGAAGCTGCTTCACTCAGATATATAGGGAAGAAAAGACTTTCATTCTTCATGTCAACTTAAAATGCGAGTTATGATGAACATAGTGAAAATATGTATGCCATTTTGACAGGTTTGATCCCTATGGCAAATCTGGATTTGCCACTTGCAGAATATGCAAAAGCTCTGTCCATCAGTCTGGTTCACACTACTGCCAGGGATGTGCTTACAAGAAAGGTGAGATGCTTAGATGCTCTTTTGTTTCCACCACAAATATATGTATTCTCACCACCCCTCTCTTTCTACTTTGCAGGAATTTGTGCCATGTGTGGGAAGAAGGTTATTGACACCAAGAACTACAAACAGACCTCGGTTTGATCTATTCTCTCTTGCTGGAGATTTTGTGTTTAGCTGAGAAGAGGATGTTCGTGGATGATTATGTTGACTCTACTATGTGTTGAGAATGATCATTTAGGTTCACAAAAGAGTTTAATTTGCAGTGTTTTATGGCAAAGTGCTGTGAAAGGAGTGTACTGGATTATGACTGTATTTATATGAAAATATGTCAGTGGTATTTTTCTCTCACTTAACCTTAGAGCAATATATTGGCTTGCACTGTTTGGACAATGTAGATAGATGCCTTCTTTAAGTATATTTGCTGGAGAATATTTTTTGTAAATATTCTCATTCATTTTTTTTTAGTAAATAATTTATCATTTTAATACTACCAAGCATTATGAAAAAAGAACATCCATTCTCTTCATGGCAATTTATTGCCTTTTTTTCTTAGTCATCGGACCTTACCAAACTCTAGGCTTTTACTTTTAAATGTCATCTCTTCCCCCAATTAAGAAAAGATATAAAGATATAGTTTGAAGTGCTATTTTTTTTTCTACTGTTTTCAAGGCAGTGTCACTACTGCAGAATCTAATGTAAATATGAAACAAGTAGACGGTGACATGCCAATATAAGACCGCTACAAGCTCAGTGTACAGCAATGTTTATAGCCCGTTTCCACTTCTTATTGTCCCGCCATTAGTTCTTTTTGTGAACATTATTGCAGATGTTTTCTGGAAATCTGTTTGTTGTTTCCTTTTTCAATGATCATTTGGAGTTACATAAGTTTTGAATTTCTTTTAGATGTCTTTTGAACCCACATAGTTAATAGGATTTGTTGACAGTAACTGTTGCAAATGCTCTTACACTGTTTATGTTGCCTTATTTTAAGTGCAAGGCGGCACAACATAGCAATACTTAGATGCTGTATAATACCATTCCCTTAATATCAATTAAATTAAGAATTGACACCTGTACCAATGTGAGACTGTTTTTACCTCTGTAAATAAAATTGTGACAACATCTTGCAGAAATCAGTCTTTTGCATAAGAAAGCAGAGACTAATGCATTTCATAATGGTGCTTTAATGTTTTAGTTGGCATAGTTGACATCTGTTTTGTTTTATACAATTCAGACAAATATATTATGTAAAAAATGGCAATATTCCAATGTCAATATTGGTTACTTCTAACCACATACAAATGATTCCCCAGATACATCACATAGAACCTTTCATTGACTTCTATAACAATAAATCAGGTTGGCTTATGACTCTTTGAATATTATCTAATCAGAGTACATGACAAAAATGTGACCAATGTGTTTTTTTTTAAAGTTATATACAAATTAGTTCTAGTATCTTCATTTTGCAAAAAAAAACAAAAAACAATTAATGAGGTTAGACAAGTATCTGAGGCAATATGTTAATTTAGTAATTGTTAATCAGTAAGATAATAGAAATGACTCGTACATAATAATTCTATCAGTTTTAAGGCAGCCGTGTGAATGATTCAATGGCAGGTCTTTTCTCAAAAGAAGTACTTCATGTAGGAACACTGATCCTTCAATATTCACATTTTATATTTCAATATTTGCAAACGGTGAGTTTCAGCTGTTGGTGATACAGCTGTGTCTCAGTAGCTGGTGGACAGATCTAACGCTCTGGCTCAGTGAGATTCTCTTAGCACCATGGAGGGTTTCAAACGTAGAGAATAATCATTGACCTTTTTGACTGTAAACACACGGAGTTGGCGCAGGTAAGTGTGATCACTTGGCACTTTTTGTCAGGGCGAGGAACTCCTCTCGGGCCTTCGGGTCCTCTCTGAATACACCCAGCATGGTACTGGTCACAGTACGGCTGTTCATCTTCTGCACTCCACGCATGACCATGCACATGTGACTACAACAACAAACATCCATTCAGGTCACAAATAACGTTTGAAATAAAAATTTTCATGCTCAGTGAAACATCCATTCAGGTCACAAATAACATAATTCACAATGAATCAACCGTGACAGTCACTGTTACCAGAAGCTGAATGAAAGTACTGTATTCTGAGCTTTGAAGTTACATTATATTAGATAATATAACATCTAAAAATTGTAAATAATCTGACTGAATGTTTTGTAAGACGGTGTTTTGTCTTTCAAATACTTACGCTGCCTCAATGACGACTGCCACACCCACAGGCTGCAAGGCCTCAGAGATTGCCATTGCTATTTGCTTTGTCAGGCGCTCTTGGACTGCAATAAGCAAAATTAAGAGTAAAACACTGAGGAAGCAACACTATCATGTTTTGTTGTGGCGAGGAGAGTAGAGAGGCAGGATCTACAACAGCAGTTGTTTACAAGACGACAGAAACACAGGAGCACTGAATAAACAAAGAGATAGAGATAAACACAACCAGCTTAACATTAACATGAGAACAGACAGGGATGAACAGAAAGTGAGGGTGCGTCTCAATCGGCTACTGAGTTCTGTAGTCAGGGCACTGATCAGGGAGTTGGCCATTTTAAGGGCTGTCTCAATCGCAAAATCCTCCAGTGCACTGAAACGTTCGCTCCTTAAAAAGCCCCACAATGCACCGTGAAAACCAGGGAGCATTGATGCTCACTATGTTCCCTTACCATAAGTTCTAAAGCACGAAACATTAATCATGTGAGCCGACTCACACATAATGATACGTGATAGATGTTTTTTTTTTTTTCATGTTCACAATATACTGATTCACGACCTAGGGAAGCTAGGGAGCCGATTGAGACGCACACAAGGTCAACTAACAATGACAGGGAACACAGGAAAACAGGAACAGACCAAAACAAAACACAAATGAACTAACAGATGAGCAGCAGCATGGATTCAGTGGTAAAGTCTGAGATTGAAAGAGCACTGAAAATGTTATACTGGATTATGTACAATATTTTTTATATCTAAGTAATGTTTCCAATACTATCATCCAAAAGTTATCAGTCTAAAAAATTGTCTCTTATGCTCACCAAGGCTTATTTATATGATCAAAAATATAGTACAGTAGAAAACAGTACTATTGTGAAATATTACATATTAAAATAACTGTTTTCAATTTTAATATATTTTAAGATGTCATTTATTCCTGTGATGGCAAAGCTGAATTTTCAGCATCATTACTCCAGCCGTCAAAGAAGTTCGGAAATCATTCTAATATTCTGATTTGGTGATCAAGAAACATTATTTTTATTAGTATTATTATTATTTTATTATTATTATGATTATCAATGTTGAAAACAGTTGGGCTGATTAATATTTCTGTGGAAACCATGAACCATTTTGTCACGATTCTTTGATGAATAGAACGTTCAAAAGAGCATTTATTTGAAATGTAAATCTTTTGCAATATTACAAATGTCACTTTTGATCAATTTAATGCATCCTTGCTGAATACAAGTATTAATTTTTTTTTAAAAACAAATAAAAATCTAATCTATCTATTTTTTCTTTTGGAAAGTATTTAGTGATAGTTACCTTGAAGTCTGCGACTGTAGATTTCAACAATCCTAAAGAGGGACAAAATCAAGTTAAAACCCCAAAAATGCTGAACTTATCAAACAGACAATTTAATAGGTAGCTATATCCTTAAGAGCAAAGAATGACAATATTAGCAGAATATTACTGTTTTTCAGTATGTATGTTGTATGGTGTTTTTCTGACCCTCTTTCTCATAAGCAGTTTTCTATAATTATTGTTTCCTAAATTGATATATAACTATAGTGTAACTGGTAAATATTCTAGAAACATTTGTGATAAGGTTAGTAATAGATTTAAAGGCAGCTGTCTGTGTGTATTTTACTCAGGCAAAGGAAGCATTAACCTACATGTGATATTTTTGTGAGGGCAGCAATGTTAATGGTTCCCATAACCACCCCACAGTGGAGTTGGGAGTTGAGGGGGATTTCCTCAGCGCCAGAGGTCAGCTAGTCTGGCGTTTTTCAGATGGGACGGGGACTGTGCCAGGCTTTGAATCTAAGCTTCACGTGAATGGGCTGTGATAACAGAAGAACTCAGCCACTTGTAACTAATATGTTCTTTTTTTCGGTCCCACTCTGATGTGAGAACAAGGCCCTTTATCATCCGTCTGAGACTGGCACACTAAATTGTGTGTGTGTGTGTGTTATATACTCACCTTGCAAGCTTACTGAGTCCAACAACCTTTTTACTTGGCAGATATCCTATGTGAACCTACAGATTAATTAACATCAAATAATTTATCAATTTATTTGTCGTGTAATGCAGCTCAGTGAAAAGAACCCATTGACCTGCCAGCACTAAACACTCTCCCAGGCCTAGACAAATGTATGCATCAGAGATCCCCTCATAACCCATAAAAACCGCCTAGCACTGCATGATGAACTAAGTGGCTAAAAGCATTACAATCATTGATGGATAATGAGACATACCTTGCCAAAAAAAGGTACTAGATGATGTTCACAAAGTGAAAACATGTCAATATCTTTCACAATAACTAGCTCCTCGTGGTCCTCATCAAAGATGGCATCATTAAGTATATCTGTAGAATATGAAAACAAATATGTACAAAATAATTGAATTGCTTAAACACGTAACTTTGATGGTGTTTTGCTACCGGACATACATCATTTTCACATTAAAATCCTCTTATAAATCAGGTCAGTTCAGGAGAGAGGCAAAAACAAGCGGGTGCTTTCAGCATCTGTTGTTGACTAATTGAGCAATTCCAGAATGACGTATATGTAAATAATACAACTCCTCATCAAAGTAGTGGAATTGGCACACACACCAATGGGTAAAAAGACTGCCCGAATATTGCATACTGAAAAGTGTTAGGATCAGAATGATAAACAATTTTATTTAAAAATTGTTATTATAATTTTTGGCTTTATTCACATACATAAACATAACTAAAAAAAGCCAATTGGTGATGAGACAATAACTAGCATTATGTGGGGCCCTAGCACAATTAGCTATCTTAAAGTTGTTTCTCAAACAAGAAAACTGTAGGGTGGGACTTGATTTTGCCCATCAGCAATTGATTGGATTGTTGGATCTTTGTCGTTTGCCATGATGTCATGTGAATGACAGGTTGTCCCGCCCTCGCACCAGTAAACACCTCATCAGAGAATAGATGTCATTGCAAGAGGGAGGGGATGTTACTTTGATTAAAGATTACAAGGGCACATGAAATTAAAAAAATTAATAATAATGATGTGCACGGATAACGCGGTTACTTTTTAATGCCATTAGCTGACGACTTTGTCTTGTTGTATTGTGTTAGTTTAGCAAAATCATCTGCTGAAGTCTTTTGCAGATATAGATAATCATTCATGCGTATAACTGATACATTTGCAGAAGCACAGCAAACTTGCTCTCGAATGTTCACGCACCGGCGTTGACCGTTCCAATATGGCGGGCGGCTTACGTTTAAAGGCCCGTAGAAAAAGCTGCTAATGACCCATCTATGTATAGTCCAGTCATTTTATGAAAAAAGGTTGAACAAATTGCCACAGAAGCAAACTCAACTGATTTTGTATCCTCAATATGTCCTGAGTAAGGGGAAAAAAAAGCCCTGAAGAATCCCATTAGGGGAACGTTTCGAAAAAGACCCAAATATATCCCATTCATACGCCTATTCATTCTTTATCTTACGTGAAAAGGTATAAACATTTTAACCTTTAGATATCATCATGAAAATCACTGAGTTGATTACTTACATCAAGACAAACAAAAAATGTATTACAAGTTTTTTTGCAATTGTTTAACATGGACAAACGATGCATAATCTAAATACATATGTGCTAATTTGCATAATTACCCACAGATCTAAGCATTGGGTATAGCAGGTGAACATGTTTTTGTTTAATCTTGTTGACATATAACAGTAAAAGACTTAATGTTAAGGTCTGAATGGAACCCATTTAGGCTACCCATGAACATTAATACAGGAAGAAGTACTTTAGAAACCAGCCTTTATTAATTAGTATTGCAGAGATGGGGTTTGGGTATTGAGTGCATTGTGTACGTAATTAGATTTTTTAATCCAGACACTTTTTATTTCACCTACCTTTTGTCTTCTGCATTCTCCTTACCCATGTCTCCTGTTCTTCCCTCAGACTCATCCCCCAGAAACAGTCCCACAGACCCAGCCCCAAACCCCATCTCTGCCATAATAATTAATAAAGGCTGGTTTCTAAAGAACTTCTTCCTGCATTAATGTTCATGGGTAGCCTAAATGGGTTCCATTCAGACCTTAACATTAAGTCTTTTACTGTTATATGTCAAGATTCAAAAAACATTTTCACCTGCTATACCCAATGTTTAGATCTGTTTGGCTAATTATGCAAATTAGCTAATACGTAATTATATTATGCACCGTTTGTCCATGTTAACAAACAATTGCAAAAAACTTGTAATACATTTTTTGTTTGTCTTGATGTAAGTAATCAACTCAGTGATTTTCATGATGATATCTAAAGGTTAAAATTTTTATCCTTTTCACTTGAGAAAAAGAATGAATAGGCGTATGAATGGGATATATTTGGGTCTTTTTCTAAACTTTCCCCTAGTGGAATTCTTCGGGCTTGGGGCTTTTTTTTTTTCCTTACTCGGGACATATTGAGGATACAAAATCAGTTGAATTTGCTTCTGTTGCAATTTGTTCAAGGTTGACCCCCATTTTGGCTTAAAATGACTGGACTATAGGCTACTCTATGGTTCAAACCGTTTAGCTGCTGTTGGTATAGTAACCTCCTCCGGTGAAAGTGATTTTGAAGACGGTGTCTACTGACTTGAAACTTGAAATCTTACTTTGTGATTACTAAAACGCTGTAAAGACTTCCCTGTATGCAAAACGAAATCGTAGAAATCGAGTGAAATTTTTATAATGCTATTCTCTGGAGAAAAAAAAAAATAGCCTACTTACCATAGATGGTCTCGTGGTAGCCTTTGGTCAGGAACTGCATGGCCTTAGCTGCACGGAGTGGGGTTTTAAGGAGACCCTGCCGGTCAGTGTTCTCTCCCAGACCTCTCAGTATGGTTGTGTACGCCGCCTCCAGAGCAGGTAATCGCGACTCATCCTCCGCCTCTTTCCGGGATGTCTCGTTTTTGTGCTGGACAGCGACTTTTTTCGTATCGACTGTCAGCTCGCTAAAGCCATTACGGCAGAGATACTCTGTGACAATTTTGCCATTGCTAAAACCGTTCAATTCTGCCGCCTTTTGGTACTCCATTGAATGTAGCCTACTTTAAATGACTATTTAAAAGAGAATAAATTATTACTATTAATATGTAGGCTAATATAAAAGAAAGGTTTAGTCGTAAATGCAATCAGACGTCTATTCTTGGTCCTCAGGTATAGACAGGAGATCGCCGTAGTGCTCTTGAGTTGAGATGCAGTTGCAGTCTAAAAGTCTCTCCCACTCAGCGTGGCATTTATAGGAGCCCTTCACTATCGCTGTGTCCAATTGAGCACGTCGGGATTTAGTGTGAGCACGCGCTCCGTTGTGTTTTACATATGTCACACCTTTTTTATGGGGTGTAATTGAATAATGCGTTACAGTCATGCAAACGGCGGAAACTGATTCGTGATTTGCTAGTCTGAATGTAAAGACACAAATGAGAGTCAAACGTCTGAGCATATGACCTCACGTGCTCACTTATAAGCTAGACCCCCATAAGCTGTATTAGACGTCAAATTCTGTGAAAGTTTTTTTTTTTTTTTTTTTTTTAAAGCTTAACAATCATAATAAGAGTAGCAATATTAATAATTAGACCTATACAGTTGTTGTTGTTGTTGTTGTTAGTGTTGTCTTTGTGTCTTTGTCTTTGTGAAATATAATAGCCTATAATATAATTTTCAATGGTAGGCCTAATAATTAAAAGGCGCACACAAATAGACCTAGACATATTTGGAAGTTCCAATTGACTTCTATTGTGTATGAGCTTATGATTTTTGATATCCTCTACCCCTAAATCTAAATCTAACCATCACACAAAACAATTTTTCGTATTAAAACATTTAATTATTATTTGTATGTTCATTAAGTCATAATTTCCTCACATTCTTTAAAGTATCATTTGGTTCCCATTAAAGTTCTGATCAAAGCATTCATCCATTGAAGAAAGTTTGGGAATCATATGACTGAAAATATTAAAAATAGGGTTATTCCTCATTGCAGCATATCCAAGACTGATCTCTGTGACAAAGCTCGTTTCCCCCAAAAAAGGTCAGTTTGCTTATTTTTGCTTGAAATTTGATCATGTGAATGTCAGGCGTGGGTTGATAAGGTGCTTTTAAAAAATCTTGAGAGTTACAGTGGGTTATATCATGACTGTATGCAGGTAGATATTTTTATTTCATAAAAAAAATGAAGGAATGAATTAACAAATTATTGAAAGCATGAACAATGAATGAATTATATGTATAAATTAACATGAATGTTTTGGAATTATGCCATTGTTACTTACAATGCTCCAGTATACTCAAATGAATTTGCTCAGAAAGTACAAAAGAACACAGAATCCAAGATCATATAACCAAAAGGAGATTACTCCTTATGCAATGTACAAAAATAACCCAGCAGCTCCATTGCATTAATATATTGCGTCACCCGACCTTTTTTCCCTTGTGATGATGATGAAGGGCTTCTGGTAAGTCTGGCCTTCATGGGGTGAAATGGTAAAGTGGCTGACTGACCAAAATAATAATTTGTTCCTTGGAAAAACATCCATGCAAAAACATCACAATGGAATTCAAGGGATGAACAGTTGTAATAACATGTAATAACATTGTGTGATATGCACATAATGTAATAATGTTGGTATTGTTTTTCATTTAACAGTATGTATACCTTGTTGTTGTCAAATAAAAAAATAAAAAATAGTCTTTGGCTTATGTAAATATAAGTACAATAATAATAATAATATGAACATTATAGTATAGAAGAAGTATGATTTACATTTTAAAGCTGTAAAGGAATACAGATGATTTTTATGTTTAATAAAAATAATACTAATTGCAAGAATATTTAAATCCGGTGCATTAGTTTAAGACTTGATTTGGATTTTAAAAATGTAATGTACGGGAATACAAATGTTTGTTGTTGTTAATGTTGTTGTTTTATAAAGCTATTACCATTTTGACAATATGACAATGTTTTGGGTGAGTTTATAATGTAATACATTTCTCATTATGTAAATTTTTTTTATTATATTATGAGCTCAATATTTTATTACTTTTTGAGAAAATGATTACATTATGAACATTTTATTACATCAATAATGTGACAATTATTACATTATGTGCTGTTATTACATTATAATAAACTATGAGTGCAGCTGTTTTGGACATAATTATGTTTTATTTGTTATATGGCACACTTTATGTGGTATAGTACAATTACATTTAAAATGTCTAACCATTTCAAAAAATGTTCTGATTTGTGAAAGACAGTGCAGATTTAAGAGTCAAAAGAGTCGGCTCTCATAGATGAGCTGAAAGGAAGGATCTGCAAGGCTCACTAAAAAGAGCCAGGATTCCCATCACAAGTGGCAAGGCCTGCTGCGTGCTCTGCTTAATGTAGACCTGCTTTTGACATTGTACAAGGGTTATGCTCTTTTTTTAACAGGCCTGACGTCATCAGTGTATGACAAGATCAAGATATCAGAGCATGGCATGAATCACAGCATCCATGCAAGTAGATCAAATAAGCCATGTTACTGTGGAGACCAGGCGAACAAAATGCTTGCCCCTCAGGCTTTGTGGGCTGTGCATGACCCATGTGCATGAACAGAGGAAGAGTTTCTAAGCAATTGATTATTTTTTTTTTTTAATCCTGGAAAGATCATGCATTTGTTGGTTTGATACATGTACATACTGCAAGATTTTGCCAAATTAATGATTTAACAGCTAAAAAAGGAAAATTTTGAACTTAAAGGTTGAAATGTGTTTTCAGGAAAATGATATTTTTCATGTCATGAATGTGTTCTCAGTGAATATCGTTTCGTGAGCCATAATGGTGGAAATGTTCAAAAGCTTTTTTGAAACCAAGATCTATACGCTGTGAGAGAACTTGGTTCTGAAATAAAAAGTATTGAAATTATAGGTCTCCATCCATCCATTTTCTAAACCACTAGTAGTGTCACAGGGATGCTAAAACCTGCCGCATCTCAGGCCGTAAGCAGGGAAAAACCCTGGGTGAATAGCCATGAAAAGTCCATCAGGGCAATTATAGGTCTTTCTTATACAGTATATTACATTTTAACTGACCAGAATGGGTCTATGAATTATGTTTGTGATGTACAAATAAACTGCCATTAACAGACACATGTAAGGCCATAAAGGAGATGTTAGAGTAGGAAAAGATATCTGTGCAAATCAGCGTGGAGAATTTCTTCACGCAGAGGACTTTTTTTATTTGCTGATGACGAGAGGAACGAAAGCTGTGTCGATCACGCTTGAGATACAGGCCATATGAGAAACCATGTGTTCTGAAACAGAAGCTTCCCTTCACAAGAACATGTATTGTATATAGCACAAACTACGTTCAGCACGTGGTGTTACAAGTCAATAGTAAAACTGTATGACTTTAATAAGTGTAAAAATTTGAATGAAACCATGTCATTCCAAACCTGTATGACTATTTCTTCTGTTGAACTTAAAGAGGAAATTTTAAGAATATCATGGTCATTCTTCAGTGAATGTATAGGCTACTGTTCAAATGTTTGAGGTCAGTATGTTTTGTTCTTTTTGTTAAGAAATGAATACTTTTATTAAGCAAGGATGCATTCATTTGATGAAAAGTAATATTACAGACTTTTACAATGTATATTAATTAATTCATTAAGTAATTCAACTTTCTATTCATCAAAGAATAAAGTATTATGGTTTCCACAAAAATGTCAAGTCTAACTGTTTTCAACATTGATAATAATAAGATATCCTGAGCACCAAATCAGCATACTTTCATGATTTCTGAAGGATCACGTGACACTGAAAAATTTAGTACCCTAATTGAGCTGTCATCAAAGCATGTTAGTATTTTAACACAAAAAAGGTGTTTGAGCCATTTATTTATCACTTTACATTTCCAATTCCTTTTGCCATTAATTGTAATAATTCAGTGAGATTTTTGTATGCACAAGTAGTCTGACAACAGCTGGTATGCTCCACACAGAGATCTGATCTCACTGTCATCGATTCAGCCATGACATCAGCACCAGACCCTACATTTCCGCCCACTCGTTCACTCTCACCCGAATACTAACCTGCAACACCTGTCACCACTCATTAAGGACTCCTACACATACGCATGCCATCCTCAGTTTGTCTGGTCTAATCAATCACTACCTGTGTATGGACTTACCTGACTCTCTGCATCTGTGTTTACCTGCCATCATCGCGCCATCTTCTCCTCAAGTCATTGAGTACCTGCAAAACCAAGAACCCTCTAAGTTAAGTCTGTCATATAACCTGCCATCTGCTTATCTTGTTTTTAATAAACATCCATTACCTGCATTCCTGTTGTCTGCCCCTCTGTTACATGACAAAATTCCAGACCACAACTTAACATGGAAATTAGACTTACTAACAACATCTGACCTGTTTGCAGATCTGGTCCAACAGGTCCGTTTGTCACTACAAACATCCGGCACGACTGCTTTACCACATTCACTCGCCAGTCCCATGGCGCAACCATCGATATTCTCAGGCGTGGCAATTTTGCAAAAGTTTCTTTCTTCAATGTTCCCTGTTCTTCAAGATTCAGCCCCAAAAATTCCAAACCGAATGAGCTAAGATAGCATTTATCATATCCCTTCTCACTGGTTAAGGATTACAATGGGCAAAATTGATCTGAGACCAGAATGGTTCCATAATTAACTCCTTAACAAATTTTACTGATCATTTCAAGGAAGTGTTTGGTCAATCTGCTAATGCTCTCTCAGTGCATGATCAACTATTTCATCTGAAACAGGGAAATTCGCTCTCCATTTCCGAACGCTTGCTGAGTGGAACAAAGCTGCGCTCATCATGGCATATCGTCAAGTTCTCAAGACCTTTCAGAGACTGCAACTTGCCATCTAAGATGAAGCTACGTGGCTGGGAAAATTGATCCAACAATCAATCCGAGTTGCACAACATATCACAGCCTGCCAAAGTAAACTTACCACACTGTAATCTCCACCCATGCTCATCATCACCTCCAACACCAGAACCAATGCAAATATAATCTTACCATCTTTCTCAATCTGAATGCCAACAACGCATTAGTAACCATCTGTGTTTGTAGTGTGGAGTATCAGTGATTACCCCTCGTTGTTCCACAACAGCTCAGGCCCTCATTGACTCGGGCTCCGCCGGTAACTTAATCAAAAAAGAG